TTCTGATAATATGGATGGCATCACATTTCATTTGTAAGTAATTTTATACGTAATTAAATATATAAGTTCTAGAACATTCTCAGCCTCAGCTATCAGCGTTAAAATTCTACTACTTGACACCAGATGGCGACACTTTTAGAAAGAAAATACACAAGTTTACGTATAATTTTGCAGTAGTATATTGTAATAATCATACGTAAATACTGAAAACTGTTATACACTTATTCCTAAATAACTTTTAGTATCTAAAACAGTAATTTTATCAATATATAACTAACTGGCCGCCATCTGTCGTCATATAGAATAACTTTTTAAACGTTACAAATATCCAGGGCCGTAATACGTATTAAATTATTTTACCAAGTAAATAAATTTTAATTATTTTTATGTTCGTTTTAGATTTCCATCCAACGATAATTTAAAACAGCAATGGATTTCAAAACTTAATAGACCGGATTGGACACCATAGAAGAAGAAGATATTTCCATTTTAAATGAATCTTCTGTGCTTTCGAGTCTTCGGATAGCACGGATGTCGAGCCTATGCCTGACGATATGTTATTGGAATTTGATGAACAATTAAATACAACTATAGGTGACTATTTGCGCCGTCAAATAGTAGCATATATTTCTGGGTATGTGGTCAAATATTTACATTCCAAGATCAAATGTGAGAGCTGTCTCAAAGAATTATATGCTGATAACTACGACGATAGTGACCTTGATTTGATAAAATCTAAAAATAAGGGTGGTCTTACTTTCCCATCTAGAGATGTCATAAAAATATGTATACGGACCGAAGACAGTATTCGTTGTGTTAAATCGCAATCTTTGAATACTCCTAACTTTCGTAAACATAAAATTGTATCGAATACATTAAAATCACTTATTGGACAAGATTGTTTCAAAAAATCGGCCAACCATATGTTTGACCAATCACCTACAGTTAATCATGTTGTATTTCTGATGAAATCGATTGCAGAAAAATATATTGATATTCGTTTTAAGCATTTTGCCACAATACAAAACGATAGGGCAACCAACCGACAACAACTAACCAAAACTATTATTTACAGGTAATTGATGTTTTTTAATAAAATTATGTTTGTAATAACATTTTGTCTATTATTTTTAAACTACCTTAAAATTTAAATCTAAAGAAAATATAAGTAGAAAAATATCCACGCGGACCAGGCAGCAGACGGGAGCGGGTGCGGGTTCGAGTCCCGTCTGCTGCCTGGTCTGCCTGGATTTTTTTTCATCAAGCAGTTACATCTTTTAAAATAATAAAATTAATACCTTAAAATTTTTAAAATCGGTCAAATTTGTCAACGTTTATTTTATTTATTTACCTACATATTTAATTTTTTTGAAGCTTCAAGTTCTGAGTACGTCCCATTATAAACAAAACTTTTGACATCTAGTGTTAGATAGCTGAACTACTACGTAGTAACATAAATATCAACCTAAGCTAGTTTTGCTATTAGCCGATAGATGAAATATTGAGAAGTGGGCGGAGCTGAACACCCCGCATCCCGCAAATTTTCACGCGTCGTTTCTTGAGGAAATTTAATCACCACACCTCCTCTTTGTTTTTCCTCCGTGGTTTAGAGAATCATGCTAGAATCGACACCAGTGTCAATTTAGTGGGACGTAGGTATCAATTTGCTTCTCAATGAGGGCGACCAGTATTAAAAATAAGTTTGAAAATCTCTGCTGTACATGTCTGCATGATGCAAGGGAAAAAATGTAAATTCAATAAAAACCACTATATAGTTTAAAAAAGCATGTTACACTATTTAGTTTATGACTAACTGAAAATATCTCTCAATAATTATTTTATTTAAAATGCATCACTAATGTGCACAGCTATTTTACATAAATCTGACAAAATATATTAATTAATACCTAAGTATGTTAAATGATTCACACAGATCAAGTTGCTTATATCTTCTTGTAATTGATCCAATCAAATATGAAAAACAAAACAATGTCGTTGAATATCTCCCAATTACAAAAAATATATTAGAACTTAGAACCTTCTGTGTATTACTTTTATCACAATGACTCTTAGGCCCCAATTAATACAACACTCTGAACTCTGAGAGCGATCTCAAGATGCTTTTTGTATGAAAACAGCATCTCAAGATCTCACTGCCATAGTTAAAATGTGTTCTATTAATATGTCCCTTAGATAGTCCAGGTACTTAATTTTCAATTTGAAGGAGGTATGGAAATATCTAATTACACAGGAGTTAGCATTATGTAAACTATAAATATGCAAGTCATGTTGTATAGTTAATAACAACCTTTCATAATGGAGAAAAAAAAAACAGTAAATATTTAATTATTTTGAATAACAGAGTAGGAAATAAAGAAAATTTTGACATATAAAAAACTTTATAAATAAACTTTTCCAACACATAAAGACAATTATTGAGTATAAAATATAATAATAATGAAATAGAAAGTTTACATTACAAAGAAATATTTTAGTGCAAGTTATTTAATGCAGCATAACTTAAACTGTTTATTTAGAATATATAATTTATACAATGTAGAAATACTATAGATAAATACAGTGACAAGAAGATGAAACGAAATTGCTCTATTTTTGAAATGAATGAAGAGATATTTTTTTATAGAGTTCTTAAATAATCACTAGAGTGGAAGGTGAAGTAACAATTGATTTTGAAACATTTCTATAGTGTTATTTGTGTGGTATAGCTTATGCATGTGACAAAATAAAGAGCACTGTGAATAATGAATCATTTCTATGTTTCAGTTGTAACAGTTTTGTATACCACACTAGTATAAATCTATGTCAGTATATTAAGAGCTATCTGGCAATAAGTAAATGAGTAAACAAATACAATGTTACACAATAACACATTTTGCATTAAGCTTATTGCTCTATTTATCAGATCACTCTCTCGCACAGGGAGTACTTGCAGAGCTTGGAGCTATTCTATCATTATCTGGGCTAACACTAAATTATATTTTCATCCCACCACCTCGGAAAGTGTAATTTTGCGCTTCGAAATCTGGCTGGAAAATTCTATTTTATTCGCTTGAGCGGCAAAGTAGATTTGAATTTAGAACATCACATATAATGAGTACTCAATATAATTGTAAATTCAAAACGTCATTAAACCTATTTAATGTAACCTCTATGGTGCCAAATTTATGATTAGAACTTTTTAAATTGTGAAAAAATTTAAATTTGGAACCTTCTTGGTTTCTTTGTTTTATTTGCGTGCTTCGCGCCATTCTAGTTTTTCACGTTTTATTGCTTAATATAATTAACATAACCTAAAAACTGTACAAAAAAATCAACTAAAATGAGTGACATTAGCGACGATGAAGTTTATCTAACGCCAACTGAGTTAACTGAAACAGTTAATAATGCGCAAATGAGCCTTCTCCCTCAGCAATCACGAGAGAAGTATTTGAAACAGTACGATATATTTAACATGTGGCGACTAGCTAAAGGAGCAAAAACTTTCTCCGAAAACGTTTTGCTGGCATATTTTATAGAATTATCTGAGACCAAGAAAGCAAGCACGCTATGGAGTACGTATTCAATGCTAAAATTAACAATTAAGATGAAGAAAGACGTTCATATCGACACCTATCATAAATTAGTGGCATTTTTAAAAAGAGCCTCATCTGGTTATAAACCAAAAAAATCGAAGGTTTTCACAGCATCTGAAATTGCAAAGTTTATTAATGAAGCACCTGATTCCGTATATTTAGCGGCAAAAGTAAGTCAATACGTGTAATTTTTTGTTGTTGATAAAATTGTACATAGTACTTACAATATTTTTAATTTGATTAATTTATTTACGATTATAAATACTTCTTTTGTTACAGGTTGTTCTTATTATTGGTATAACCGGAGCATGTCGAACAAATGAACTTACACTACTTAATGTCAATAACGTATCAAAATATTCTCATAATTCTGATGAATTGCTATTAATTAATGTACTAAATACCAAGACAAAAAAAGACCGCAACTTCGTTATTCGCAAGGAATATGTAAACATTGTTCAGAAATATCAAGCTTTACGTCCTTCTAACACCCCAATTGAACGATTTTTTCTACAATATCGCAACGGAAAGTGTATCCGACAACCTATGGGTCAGAATAAAATTGGCAGTATTCCACGAGAAATAGCAACTTTTCTCGGACTTTTAGAACCCCCGTTATACACCGGTCACTGTTTTAACAGAACCTCAGCCACACTTTTGGCCGAATCAGGGGCTGATCTTCTATCGCTTAAGCGCCATGGAGGCTGGAAGTCTAATTCGGTTGTAGAGGGATACATAGAGGATTCAATCCAAAGTAAATCAAAAATTTGTAATAGTATCGTGGAGGCCATAACGCTGAAAGAACCTCTGTCAGATTCTTGGTCTCGCCCTTCTACATCTAAAATGAGCCCCCATAAGATTGGAAACAATAGCCCTCTCTCGCCAACATTTACGCCAATAGAATCCAATGAATCGGCACAACTATTTAAAATTACTGATACGAGTAGTTTACCACAAAACAGCGCACAATTCACAAACACCAACATAACATTACCTAACAAAAATATTAAACTTAACATAAGTAACTGTAGCAACGTTACATTTAATATTTCTTAATTATTTTCTACTTCTTATTATTTTCTTCAATTTATAGATTATCTTAATGTGTTTTAATTGAAATAAAAATATTTTGTCATTATAAATTGTTTTCTTTTTCATTTTGTCATTTCCTCGCTGAGGTGGGATGAAAAGTTACGTATTGCACTCGAGTGGAAAGATTTTTCACCTTGTGCTCGTTTGTTTCCCTCGCTGACGCTCAGGATTCTAATTTAGAATCACTCGCTGCGCTCGTGATTCAACTTTAGAATCCTTCGCTTGCTCGGTCATCCAAATCGAGCACGCGGTTAAAAAGGAACTTTCCACTCTTGTATAATAAATAACTATTATATTATTACTAATATATAATGATTAATGACGCATGTCACTATTACAAGGTCACCAATTGTATGCAAAATAGCTGCTCATACCAGTGCATAGAGATCCTGTGAGGGACCTTCAACGTCCAATACAAATTTATATTATACAATAAAGTAATGGAATTTTATGACTTGTTTTAGACATATCCAATGTATGCTGCAATACTTCTTCACTATGTCACATTCAAGTTTAAAGTCTAGGTCATCCAATGGGAAATGTCAATGCTAATTAAGTGAGGGAGAGTGTCCATCATCCCACACAACATCAATGCTGGGCCATTTGGTCTGCAGGCATGTGAGCATAGGATCAGTGCTGGCAGCCCGCATGGGGCACTCGAGCAGAGCTGCACGGCCTGTGCGATAATTTACCCGTCCCCCTGGATTACTACGAGACAATCCATTGTAGTGGTGCAAGGTAAATGTGTCTGGGGCACCTCTTTCACACCCTGGGAAAAATTCATCCATAAAAGCACTTAGTAAAATTATACCCAAATTTTCAGAGTCCAGTTTCCTTCTCATCAATTCCACATACTCTGGTTCACTTACAAGATCTGCTGCACATAGAACATCTTGAAGTGCAGCAGAGGGAATAAAATTATTACCCTCGGGATCAAAAGAACGGAAGATGCGTTCTGCTGATTCACCTGCAGTTTCAGGTGCAGCTAGTCTCCTCTCCAATGAAAATAGAACAGTTAAATGTGTTTCGGAGGCTAGTACCCAAACTGGATGCTTAGGGTTTTTATAGAAGGAGCCTACAGTACAATACTGCATGTGTTCCATTATTGTAAGGAAACCAATATCATTTTGTCTCTCTATTCCTCTTAGTCTTAGACCTCCAACAACTTGATCATGGTCCCAAACATGAGCTACTGCTCTGCCAGTCAACATCAAGTTAATGAGGCCCTGAGAACCGTAGCCATACGTTGAGTGGATCAAAGGATCTGAGAGCTCGGCAAGTTCTGCTTCTACTGTGCTCACACCCTTGCTAAGAATTACACTGTACAAAAGTAGTAGTACACCATACTTATCTTTCAAAATTCTAATATTTCTTGTATAAAACGCTTCCACTTCAGACAATGTTTGAAAAGAGTGCACTTCAATCCTTCTGTGGAAGTGTTCTATAGTATCACTCGACTGTTCCTCCACACTAACATTGTGGCCACTGCTGCTCTCGGCATCTGTCTCATTCTTACGATGCACAGCCACATTGTACTTAGGAGCTAGACACTGACTTAATATTGTACACACTGCCCTAACAAGAAGAGAGTTGCACTTCTCTGAAGTCAAGTCCTGAAAACTGTGTCCTGGAGTCTCTGACAATAGGATTTTGAGCAAAAATCCTTGGACGGGCGCTATCGCGGCGCAGGGTCCGCCTTCCTGTTGTATGAGGGCGCTGGGCTCGTCCGGACTGAACTGGAATCCTTGCGCCCACCGCCGGAACACGTCTTCTTTCACATGCTCGCCCCAGAGAAGCCGACGCGTGCTCGCCAACTCACGCTCCACACTTGTGCTGCCAGCGCTCATATTACCTTTATTTTCCAATGTTTTACCAGAACTAGTCGTTTCGATTTCTTTCAATCCGTTATGCATTTGCATACACAGGTCGCTCAAGGACTATCTACCCCACCTAAAAAAAAAAAGAAAAAAACTTACACATGTGTAGAGAAATGAATCAGCTTTATTCGACATAGTTGAGCATTTAACGGGAAAAATAATTTAATTTTATAAGATTAACCACGTAGTACTTACTCAAAATACAAAATTCATAATCAACATCTGAAAGTTATCTATTTACTTGATTATACAGGTAAACCATCTGTATTGCTTCAAAATCATTATAAATTATCCGTAAAGTGCTGGTAAAAACTTTTCATCACATTACAAAAGAAAATGAAAAGCTTACGACATGAAGGCTGCCATTTTTAGGAAAAATAGCAACATTTATTTTTTTAATTACAGCTTGATGTTAAATTATTTAAGAATCAAAAAATGTTGATGGTAGTTAAAATTTAAATTAACTAAACTATTATAACTTCTTAAAATCACAAAACAAATATTATTTTACAGAAATATTTATCTTAATGCGGTAATATATACGTAAAACGAAACGTAGGCTGTCGAGCAGCAGTGTTGCCAAAAAGCAAAACGTGAACCCGAACCACAAATGTCCGATGTTTTCCATTTGCATTGTATTGATGTTTTGGATCGTAACCTCGTGAATCGATTTACGATCTGCACGCCCGAAAAAGTGAGACGTCATGTCACGTTGACTTGTCATTTGTTCACGTTCCGCGGTGTGTAAGAGGTGAGGTCGAGTAGCTCCTTTGACTAAATTGTCATTCTTCTACCATTTTTTTGTTTTACGGTTCAATCCATCTATCTTCAAAAATATAATAAACTATTGAATTAATTTAAAAAATGGTTGCCTGTAAAGTCGGTTTTACGGGCGAAGATTTTACGTGACAACGTCTTTTTCTCGGTAGAATATTTATTGATATGAATATAATTAAATTGCACAATAGGAACAAGGAATTGAATGAAAATAAGAATTGCACAAATTTTAACTATAGAAATATATTTTGTTTACTAAAACATTGTACATGTAAGCGGGCCTCTCTCTCGTTCGGTGACTCATCGTAACGTTACCGAGCGTTACATTTTTTCATAAGTGACTCCCAGCCGCAACCTAATTTAAGACGTTGTCACGTCAAAAATCGATTAGTAACAATCTCGTGACTCCGCGATTGTTTCTTATAAAAAATGCCAGAATTGACACTATTAAATCCATGATATGATATCCATGAATTTAACAAATCGATATAAATATCGGTATTTTAACCTTTATCATATGGAATTCCATCGATGCTAATTTGATTCTTAAAAAACGTATTGAAATTTTATCTAAACAATAATGAAGTATATGCGTGCAAAATGATAACGTATTTCGAACAAGGTAACCAATACTAACACAAGTTACTTGACGAAAATAATTTTGAATTTGTTCTGCTTTTTTTGTTACGAAAAAATTTATTATAACCCCTTTTAAAGCCAACATTAATTAATTAAAAACAAAGAAATTACACAATCCAATATTTTAATTTCTTTTTTCCGTCTATTTGGGGAGGCCATGCAATATATGAATCATTCTTTTATATTAACAATGATGTCGATTCTGGCATGATTCTCTAAAGCCAAACTTAAATTTGACAACAGTGCATCCTTGTCCTTCTCTATACAGAATGAAAAGGTGAGACTAACCTTAAATTTAGTTTTAAGTTTAGAGAATTAAATCACCAGAATTGACACCAGTATCTTTTTCACGTCTTGATTTAATAGTAAAAAAGTAGGTAGGTAATATGAATGTTAAACGTAGATGTCTGTCCTGTCCTTCTCCACAACATTGCTTTTGCAAACATATAATTTTATCCTTTTGGTTAATTAAAATTTCGGTTTCACTTGCCTGGATTTTTCAATATTATGGTCATTTGATTTTTTTATACGAATTTACTTCTGTATGTATTGCCGTGAATCGATTTTCCAAATGAATGATTCAGATCTGACATCCCTACCGTGTCAGCTTAGTAATAGTAATCTGTGTTTCCAGTCATTTCAGTAAGTTGCAAGCTGATTGTGTGTTGCATTAGTGTTATTTTCAAATGTTATTACGATTTTGTTTTCGTTTAATTTGCTTCTTCTTTCTAATATTAATTTAACCTTCAACAAGTGAAAAATGTATTGAAAGAGTCAGTGGTTGTTTTAAAGTGTGTATGTGTTTATAATAATTTCGACATAATATGAAGGTGGACACACTTTGGAGGCGACGCACCGCTGTAAACGTCGCAGGTTTGTACAATTTAAATGGACACTTTTAGATACAAAAAAGAAGAAAAATTATGTAGTTTCTTCTTTATAATAAAGATTTCAAGCTTACTACTAGCCATTGTTGTGCTTTATGCAAAGGAACAAATTCCTGACTAGTCAAATGATATTTTATTTTATTAGTGCTAGGATCAAGTAAATACTTACTTCAAAATCATTTAATTGTGGTGTTATTCTTATTACCTATGTGGGTACATTGGTAATAATACCTAATTGTCTTAAGATTAATTGTAGTTAACCAATACCAACTATTTTCAAAAAAGTGTAAAGAAAGAATTTACATTAGTGCCCGACTATTTTCTCTATATTAGAGGGCAAGGCAAAATCCTAGTATTTGAGTTGGTGAAATTTAGAATATGTTGGAAAGTCAGACATTGCTCACATTTTAAATTTTAGTGGTGAAACCGAAATTATTATAAAATTCTGCATGCTAAAGTTATTTTACAGGAATTTCAATTAAATTTAATTTGAAATTACATTTTTAAGTTAAATTTACCATAATAATGAAATATAAATAGAAAACTAAGAAAAATCGCGGAACATTATTTTTGGATATTGATACTCACTTCTTATCTGTGATAAAATATTATAAAAGTGTCACTGATCAAATCAAATCAAAGGCAAAACTATTAATATTGGTAAAACAAGCTATTACCATTTATAGACAACTAGCTGTGCCTCGCTGTGTTACCCGCGGTTTATTAGGGATGTTTTCCTGCAGTAAAATGTAGCCTATGTGTTAATCCAGGGTGTCGGCTAACTCCATATCAAATTTTATTAAAATCACTCCAGCTGTTGAGACGTGAAGAAGTAACAAACATACACACTAATGAACTTTCCCTTTATAATGATAGTGTGATTCGTAAGGCTCCTACTTTTTAAAAATCGAATCATAATTAGTAACTAGCAATCAGCTGGGCTGGCTGGGGCCCTGGTGCAGTATTGAGAGGGATTGAATCTCTTATCTATTAGACAAGTCCGTCCGTCCGTCCGTCTGTCTTTGGTGCTGTTTCAGCGGCCAAACCGTAAGAGATAGATAAAGAGAATGTTTAAGTTATGAGTTAAGAATAGTCTGATAAGACTACAAACCAGATTTGAGTAACGTAGCACTTCCGGTTTTCGAGAAATCGCGAATTTCAAACGAAACCACACAAAATCTCCGAAGTTCTCAATTAATTAAATACATTTTTTTTTTATATCAGGTTTTAATCAACATTTGGTTCACTGGTTTGCTAGTTTTAACATAAAAGCATAATATCCAATTTCCATAAACTCAGTTGTTTCTAGTGGAGTTATATAAATCGGCATTTTATCCACTAATTAAAAAATCACTGTCCCAAGCATTTTTTTTTCAATATAGCTCATTATTGCTGGTATTGATGTATTTTTATTAACAGTATTTGCTATTCTAGTCAAGCCATAGCTCAAAATTGTAAAATTATATTAGAATAATCATTAATTTCTCTTCAAATAATCCACAGTCCCCACATGTTAAGTTCCTTTTATGTACACATTCACTCAAGAGCTTACTTAAAAAAAAGATACTTTTTAGATGACCAGGGTAGATGCATTCGGCAGGGGAGAGACATTGACATAGTAAAACAATAAATAAAATCAAATTTAATTAAAACATGTGTTACTTATATCAAATATTTGCTACTTATAGTCAGAGTAAAAATGTTGTACTACTACTTTTCCTTAAATCGAAAACTAGATCTTCTTAGTTAAAAAAGTATAAAGTAGGCAAAAAAATACTCTATGGATGCTTGCTTCAACTTACAAATTTCAGCGATTTGACGGCTTTTGTGATTATTATTAGAGATGCACCGAAATTCGTTTCACGATTGAATAGTATAGTATACTAGCTGACCCAGCGAACTTCGTACCGCCATAAAAAAATAGGAGTTGGTGGTAGAAAGGTGAAACTTTAGGGTTGTATGTATTTTTGTATGGTGTATCATAAAAAAATTAAAAAACAAAAATTTATCTAAAATTGAAAAAAAAATTTAGGGGTGAATTACCCTCAACATTTAGGGGGATGAAAAATAGAAGTTGTCCGATTCTCAGACCTACCCAATATGCACACAAAATTTCATGAGAATTGGTCAAGCCGTTTAGGAGGAGTTTAACCACAAACACCGCAGTATATATAGTAGGGAACAAGGTGCATCTTAGTCTAACTCCACTTTGAAGTCTGTTCCTTCAGATGGGTCACCTGATGGCAAGTGAACACCGTCGCCCATAGACAGCTGCAACACCAGGAGAATCACAAATGCGGAAGAAAAAGTAATATATCTTTTAGGAAGGAAAACCTTCTTTTTTGATGGTTTGGGTCTTAATGGTCCACGAAAACTGCTGGCGCAATATATTCCAAATTTTTGTCATAAAACATTTCGTTAAAATCGCATGATTGTAAATAGCCACTCATCAAGATGGGATGAAATTTTAGTCGCGATGTACGATGGCGAAAAGCAGCATCTGTAATTAAGGCGGTTCACCCACTGCAGTGTGCTACGTCGCGTAGCGCGTGAGCGTAGATTTTAACGTTATATACAAGTATCTTAGTTCGTATAGAAATCCCGCGACCTACCACACACTGACCAACCGTCGGCGCGCGGGGGCGCGTCACCAGCGCAGTTTTTGCCAATCGGCGCGTAGCTCAATTTTACGCATATCATTAACATGAAGGAGAAACAGCATGGGCGAAAGCATACAACCTTGTGGAACAGCAGCGTTCTTGGGTTTAGAGTCCAAACATGCACCGTCGATTGCGACTTTAATCCTATCCGCAATAAAGCTGAATTTCCAAATGCACAGTTTTTCAGGAAGCTCATATAAAGGCAGCTTCGATAGAAGCGCTTTGTGCCAAACCCGATCGAAACCATTTGCGATATCCAGACTGACAGTCTTGGTCTCGATTACCTTTGCCAAACAGTGAGTCTAGAATAATTTGCCAATATCGACGTATCCCATGTATGAGTATAGCGTGTGATCAACTGCTAATAGACCTATATAACAAAACTCGATTGTACCAAGCAATATTATGACTATTTTTATCGCACATTGTTTTGGCTGTGCATGGCAAAGTGTTGGAATAGCGCTGAAGTGAAAATTCCATGTTGAGACTTGCTCTCGAAATGAAAGCCAAGCACACTCATTGTGTGAGCCACACTATCTATGTCTGTGGTGTGAGCGCTGCGCGGTCGCGGGTCGAACCCACTAATGTGTTACTGGAAAGTAATGCCTTTGCTTCGACGCTTTCTTCTGGTCTCTAAATAGAATCTATCTCTACGCATTTGCTATGATTACTCGGTAATCAACGATTTGTATAATGAACAAACGTACTTAAGTAACATTTAAAAATACTAATGAAAACAACATACAAATTTTTTTTTTATGTTTTGTGCTGGACTGCTATGGGCGAGGGATGCGAGGTCCAGATTGTTTTTTGTTTTTGTTTTTTGTATTAAGTGGTTGTCTTGTATTTCCGTCCGTCGATGTCCAAATTAGGTCCCTCCAGAATATCAGCGTTGCAGCGGCAATCCATTTTTGCCGTTGCAACATTATGCTGAGGTGGGGCCTAGTTGACGATGTACCTTTTGTTTTATGTTTGTTGTGTATTTATTGTAATTGTTAATGTATGTCGTCAATAAATGTTTTTCTTTTTTTCTTTCTATAATACCTAATATATTTTTAGTAAATGAACAGCCTATCCTTATTCAAATCACACTAATATTATAAAGGCGAAAGTTTGTGAGTTTGTGAGTGTGTATGTTTGTTACTTCTTCATGTCTAAATGGCTGGAGCGATTTTAATAAAATTTGGTATGGAGTTAGCTGACACCCTATGGTAACACATAGGCTACTTTTATCCCGAAAAAATGTTAGGTTCCAGAGGGATTTTTAAGAAACTAGGTTAACTCAGACGAAGTCGCGTGAGACCTCTAGTACATCATATTTTTATAGAGTAAGTGGGTAGCATCAATTCTGTTGATCTAACGGAACCTGATGAACATGCGCACAACAGTAAGTTTTGTTTCATGTGCATAAGGAATACGCAGGCCAGTGTTATAACTAGGGTTGCTACCCTTTTCTGTCCAAATAAAGTACATTGGATATTAAAGGTAGAATTAAAGTAAATTGTGTCCAAAATAAAGTACTTCTTATTCCTCTTTATTAGTAAGCTTAAAAATATATTTTACGTTGCTATTAGCAACTTTTAATAAATAATTTGTGGCTACTAAAAATCTGTAGTTATTTTCCGCAATGGAAAAGGTCATATTACAAAGCCATACAGCCACGAAAATGTGGCAGGAATGAGCTAAGGGCGACATTTTCATACTGTCTGTCCGTTTTACGCAAAAATTCTTTCTATCGACCTCTTTTTGTATATTTTATGTAAAAATAATCCCCGTGTAATAAAATCACATTAAATTAAGTATTTTCGCGTACTTTGTTGTTGGCATAAAGTATAGAGTACAATTACCCAAAATTGCGTACAATACTTTATAATAAAGTACGGGTTAGTTATAACGTACCGGTTAGGCACGGGCCGCGTAAATGTGGGCGGCGTCAGGTGGAGCCATTGGAAATGGGGTAGCCGCATCGAATGCATCCGTGCATAACGACGCAAGCGTCTGACTAGATGACATAAAATTATTTTGGCATTCATTATCTATCAGATCAGGGCTTGTTTCGAGACAACTATCTACAAAAATAGTGCACATTTATACTAGAAAAAAACAACTTGGAGCGAGAGGAAAGCAGAAGCCGCCTGCTGTTAACTTCCCAAGCAGATATTAAGACGTAGCTACGGTGGGCATTGGAGACCATCTATAGACCCATAACATTGTATATTTTGGGACTGGCTGGAGACTGTATCTATAAACTTGAAGCGATATGATAAAAGCTTCAAAAACACACCGACTGAATCATATTTAAACACGTGCATGAAGTTAGCACGAC